ATTCGTCGGTAAACACTTCGCATGCCAATAGGTCTTCCGTGTTCTGCAAACCATTCATTTGCAATGGACCTGGTAGTGGAGAAACGGTCCCTTAAGGCCAATAATCTTAGGCGGCGATCTTCACGGTCTGTTGTTCTACGGCGGCGTCCAGTGCCCCTTGCTCTTTGCGTACGGCCTTCTCGAAGCCATGCCTGACAACACTTAACCACAGTGTCTACACTTCTTTGCACTCTAACTGCAATTGCCCGAAAAGAAAGTCCAGCTTCCCGAAGTCCCACTATACGGCCCCTAGCAAACTCACTAAGTTGACGAAATCGTACAGGTCTCCGTACTCTAGGCATCGTAACCGATCGTAAAGGATGTCAAGAACCAAAATCCGCCAAAGTTGATTCTTTACTGCGCCTGAAATATTCATTTTTAGAGCGTTAGTGAATTAAAAAAAAGCAGTATAAAAACCGGAATGTCCAACTGATGAGGCTGAAAATTTTTTCACTTGTTATTTACAGTAAGATAAATACATTCACCTACTTTTATTAAAATAAAACCATTTAAACTGGGTGTTCGGATTTATATGTCACTTAGTATATATGTCGATTGTCAGTGTTTTTATTGGGATATTTTCAGAAAGTGTGAAACCAATGGTCCTCTGTCACCGAATGACTATGTTTGTGCAGGAGCGAGTAGAAGATACGTTTACTTATCTCGTATGAGATTGTGACGTGATCGTCCAAAAACCGTGAAAAGAACCATACATTCAGAATTTCGATGCTAATTTGATTAAAATATGGATAATACGTCTTAAAGAAACTGGCTCTGCGGCAAAGGACGGGAATCAACCTGTCAACTGAGTTGGACTGACACTTCGGTAAATATAAAAAAAATGCACGCCATTTGGACTTCGTGAAGCTAATGAAGGAATGGGAGTTCTCCCTTGGAGTAGTTCTCCGAATGAAGCAGCAATCTGCTGTATCAACCTGTCTCCCTCCGTTAGGCCAAATTCAATTTTAGCCAGACGTAGTAACACGGTTGCATTATTATATCTGTTACACGATACCCACCACTACCGAGTAAATTGCAAAGCGTAGCGGCAGCAGCATCCCTGTCGAGGGTTTAGAGAATTTACCACAGTTGGAGAAATCAACGGACGGGAAAACGATCTTGTCTTTGTCTAGACAGATGAGGACCCGCATGAACATAGCAAAAAACGTGTTCTTACAGACAAAGCGCGATATGTAACAGACACATCTCTTTTTACTTGTTTTCGCATTTTTTGAAGGAAATACCCCAGTCAAATCGTGGTGACAATGACATTCACCTTTAACGTGCAATTTGAACCGCAGCTGGTTTTTTGTTTTGATGTGAAAGAGGAGTATTACTGAGTCAAAAACCAAATTTGCCACACAAATCACATTTTTGAGATTACGTTGTTCAAACAAATGCATCGTTCCAGTTTTTTGTGTTCATCTTCGTTACTATGCATCGGCTGCTAAAGAATTAAAAACAAATCATGTGTCGTAAATTATTACACGATTTTTGTAGAATAAACTTCTTCCATACAGTTATCCAGTTAGAATGTACAGGGTTTGGAAAGTAAAAATTATAATTTTTGTTAGTCATTTTTAGTGATGTTATCATTTCGATTGTGTAGATGGACTTCTGGATAATTCTGTATAATTCAAAGCCAAAATCAAATCGATACTATCATTGGGAGCTCGCCATTCAATGCGCGATTGTTGACATGTAAATAATTCGGGGATTAGTACGTTTGAGATAGGAAAAAGGAACAATAAAAACAACTAACAAAACTTATAATGTAGACTAATTTATGAGGCATAATAATCTGTTGTTTCATTTTTAGTATCCAATGCATGTTAACGAAGGCAATAAAAAAACAGAAACTGTGCATTTGTTTGAATATAACATTAAAAAGTGTAATTTATGAGGAAAATGTGGTATTGGATCAGTCAATAGTCCTCTCTTCATGCTGAAACAAAATCCCAATTGCGGTAAATTTGGCAAGGTAAAACTACCATTTGACTGGGGTAAAGGTAGAGGATGTAACCATTTCGTGAATACTGCTTCGCCACCATGCGAATGGGCCTACAAGCTTCTTTGTCGCTAATTTTATTGTTTTGACACAGGTCTAGCTCAGGTTAATTATTGTCGATTTCGAGAAAACTATGAATGCGCCTACATGGAAGCGGGCACATCCTTGCAAATCCTATAAAAACGAATGATGCTGAGAGAACTCACTCAGCAACTAAGTTTGTCCTACGTTACAACCTGGCCGAGTAATTTCTGAAGAGGTTAGACGCAGGGTAATTCTGACGTATCTGTTAGAGACAAACAATACCAAAAATAGGATATAGTTCCGTTCTAGAGCTGTTGAGCTTACGATACTTTTGAATTAGTAAAGCAATTTTTTTAAGTTATTGGAATTTTGATTGTACCTAATACCTTTCTCCATTTCTAATGGTCACATATGAAATTAATTTTTTTTACATTTATTCCTAACCATCAAGAATGTCAAGGTAAATGAGACGCCCTCATTTGCTTAAAACTAAGACGTCTCATTTATAAGAAAATGTGCATGCGACATAAAAGCCAGTATTTTAAGCACTTGTACGTTGATGCAATATATTTCATAAAGCGTTTCCTATACGCCCAAAAGGTTAGCCATTTTTTCCATGACAACAGTGTATATTGCTCGATCTTCATATAAAAATCATCTTCGTAGACTTGAATCGGGAGACGCGCACCTCACTCTCCATAGAGGCATTCTCCCCCCGCTGTTCAATTGCTACAAGGGCACTTGCTCTAAGATGCTGCACCACCGCTGCGCCCCGTTCTAGACAAGTTCCTCAATCCGACTTTGATATACAGTGTGAGTCTTCATAAAGTGCACATAGCAAAATCAAGGAAACTACATCTTATTTTATTGTCGGAAAAATTATCAAAAAAAAATTAAAAACAATAATTGATTTTTTATGAATATTTTAAAATTTTTAGAGTCAGCTGCTAACCCTATTTAAATAAATCGTTACAACTTTTAAACTGAATGCCCTATCATATTGGAATATATTTTGTAGTGATTGCAAATAATAGGCCGTACCAGTAAAGTGAACATTTCCACGAAATTAAATGCTATAAATTTAAAATAAAGAGGAATATGCTGAAACTCACTATTTTTCAATGATTTTTAAAACAATTGCTAAATTTCAATAAAAATTGTCGTATTTACCCTACCTTTTTTAAATGTTACGTTATTCTACATGTTATTAGCTTCCTAATGGTGAAAAATTGCAAGTTTATTACTTAGATACAAGTTTTTAAATCAGCGTTTCAAAAAAGCAGTGAACTCAGTTCAACGCCAGAGTAGGAATAAAACAACATTATTAACCTACATGAATCATTTAACAAATAAAATCAAATAGACTTGTCTATAGGATAATCATTTTGGCTTAATGCATCAAATGTTCAAAATGGCCACCCCGTTGCTGCAAACACATTGTAGCGCGAAGTGAAATTTGATGAGTTGCCCTACGAATCATCTCGGGATCATTTTTGATTTAGTTGGCAACACGCAAAACTCTTTCTTCAAGTTCCGCTTCGCTGTTTATGGAACTGCTGTACACCCTTTGTTTCATTGTCCCCCATAAAAAATAGTCGAGAGGTGTGAGATCTGGGGAACGCGCCGGCCACCCAACAGGTCCTTGTCGACCGATCCAGCGGCCTGGATAATTTTCATTACGAAAACACCTGACAATCAGCGAGTAATGGGCAGGAAATCCATCCATTTGAAGCATCATTCTTCGACGGGTTTGCAGCGGCACTTCTTCTAACAGCAAGGGCAGTTCAGTCCGCAAAAGCTCCAGAAATCTCTCTCCGTTTAATGTCCTCGGGAGTATTATTGGACCAATCAAAAAGTTGTCAATCAGTGCGGCCCACACATTTACAGAAAATTTCACTTGAAATGTTGAAGCCCTTTTCAGCCTAGGGTTTTCATCTTTTGGGCACCACTTATGTAAATTACGACAGTTCACGATGCCGTCTCTCGTGAATTGAGATTCATCTGTCCACAGACTTGTTTTCGGGAATTCAGGATTGTCTCTTGTTTTTATTAAAATCCATGTAGACATAACGCACCTTGGACGCCAATCCACATCTTCATGCAAGTGCTGCACCCTTTGATAATAGTATGGATGCAACCCTTTTTTTTAATTACTATTGTGTTTAAATAAAAATAAAACAAGTTAGTTCATACAACTAGTCAAAATAAAATAGGAGGACTTCGTCAATATGGAATTGCCAAACTTCGCGGAGTTAAGGCTGTGGTGTCCGGCATACTGTTCATTCTTGGATGATCCTAGTTGAAGTACTAGGCGGAATGCAGCCCAGTTACCATGATCCCTAAGTCTTGCATGAAGAATTTATAATCGGGAAGTTGTGTGAGTGGTTACTGCAAATGCATAATCAAAATGCAGATTTTATTGATTTCGTTTTGTGGTCAGATGAATTTCTTTCTATGAGGAGTGGAACCTTTAATTCTCATAACGAAAATATCTGGTCGTCAGAAAATCCCCGTTCTGTAAAAATCGACTCGTTTCAACACAGATATTTTTTAGAAATGCCTGGTGCGGCAGTTTTAATGGCCATCTCAGAGGTAACATGAACGTGCAGCACTGAGCACTGAGTTGAAATGTCTTTAGATTCGATCCGAAATTTTTTGATAAAATTGTGATAGTCTGTGTGAATTTAATAGTGCGAGTGTTATAATCTAGTTATTTGAATGTGTTGATTTCCCATGTGAAGATTGTTCAGCTCGAATTTTCTGCATTTGATTTGAATGGGACAATCGTAAACATAGCATATCGAGTAAGTCACTACATTCCTTTGATCCAGTGGCGTAACATAATCGGATCTTCTTCACATTATCTTTACCTGACGCATATCAGTAAAAGGGTGGGAATCAAAGCAAACAAGCAATAATAGCTAGCACAATGTCTAAGGTTCTCACAAGATCCAATGTTCGCAACTTAAAGGCAAATAGACCAACGAAAACACCATCAACGTCTCAAATGACAAAAGGAGCATCATCTTCTGCTAATACGAGTGATATAAGTATAAAATGTGACTATGATTCTGATGATAATCAGGATATGTGTAATAATATTATTGATAACCTTAGAAATAAACTCGCACAGCAGCAGGCCATGAACGAAGACATAATGGAGAAAAACGCAAGTATGTTGGAAGAAATTAAAGAACTGAAACTAAAGCTATCCAATAAAAATGAAATAATAAGTACTCTACAAAAAACTCTCGATAATTTATCAGTGAACAAACAACTGTTTCATACACAGACGCAAACCGATATAACTGAAGCTGGTATAAAATTCACGAGGATAAAGTAGCAGATGTAAAGAAGAGAAACGGAGAATTGAATCAAGAAATCAGCAGACAAATTGAACAAATTGAGCAACTGAATCAAATAATGGAACTTAATCAAGGAATAGATGGAAAAACATTAAATATTGAAAGTGCCTTGGATGTTGATAACGTATCCATAAAACAAAAAGGACAAAGGAGCGCAGAAAAACATGTTGCAGAAGAATACTCTACAGAAGTTTCAAATAATGATGACGGAATGCATGACAACAGTTTGTTGGACCAGGAGGCAATTCTACTTGAAGCAGTTACAGAAAATATAAGCTTAGTTAATGCCAGTGAAGTTTTGCCCGTGCAAGCTAGTGAAATCCATAAAACAGATAAGAAACGCAAAGTACTAATTATCGGTGATGAGTTTGCGAAAAGCAGTTCCATAGTGTTGCATTCAATGTTATCTAATCGAGACATAATTATAGAAGGTGTAGTAAAGCCTGGCTTAGAGTTTTCGGAGTTAGCTAAGTCATTGTTCCACTACCCGATAGCGGTACTCAAAATGGTAGCAAACGAATTTATGAAGTACACTAATCACACAAATATAGTATTGAGAGTAATTGATACAACCCTCTCATCAAAGTGCAAGCTTTTTCTTTGATAGAGCGCCAAATAATCAATGTAGTAAACAATTCAATGAAAATGGTTGTATTTTTAATGGAAATAACTCAAATAGTTTAAAAATAATTCATCAAAATGTGCAATGCCTTAGTAACAAACTACTAGAGCTTGAAGTGTTTCTAAATGAAAATAACTGTGATATATTTTGTGTTTCCAAGCACTGGGCAAATTCTGACCAAATTATGTCTTTATATATACACGAGTACATTTTAGCAACTTCATACTGTAGAAAGCTTCTTCATCATGGCGGGACATGTATATACCTCAAAGCAGGACTAGAATACAATAATCTAGACTATTTGAATGATATTTCAGTTGATAAGCGTTTCGAATGTAGTGGAATTCAAGTTATAACCGAAAACCTCAATTCGGTTATTGTTTCTCTGTATAGAAGTCCTGATGCCGATTTTAAAATTTTTTTAGAAAAACTTGAAGACCTTTTAAATATTTTAAACATTAAATGTAAAAAATGTGGTATTGTCCTTTGTGGTGATTTTAACATAAATTTTAACAAAAACTCTTTAGATTTAAATTGTCTGTTGGATGTTTTAAGCTCATATTCACTAAAGCCTGTTATCAAACAACCTACGCGAGGATCTAATTGCATAGACAATATTTGTGTAGGGGTGGATGTAAAGTGTGATACTGCAGTAGTAAACAATAATGTTAGCGATCATTTTGCTCAATTATTAACTCTATACTACCAAAAAGATGAACAGTCACCTCAGATTTCCTACCAGTACCAAGACCTGTATAATAAATCCAACATCAACAATTTTTTAGCTCTCCTAGGTCAAGAAACCTGGGACCACATTTATCATTCCACTGGGGATATTAATGAGAAGTTTGATTTACTCCTACAAACGTTTCAGTATTACGTTGACATAGCATTCCCAGTTATAACCAAAACCGTAAAAGCAAGAGCCAGAAAACGATGGATTACAAAAGGTATCCTAATATCAAGAGATAAGCTTCACTATCTGTATAATTTGTCTAAGACGGGAGATGTATTTCTTATAGAGTTCTATAAAAAATATAAAAAGGTATATGCCAGAGTTTTAAGAGCAGCTAAGCGACTATATTACAACAAAATTATACTAAATGCAAAAAATAAAACAAAAAGTGCTTGGAATGTAATAAACGAAAACAGAAACACACCTAAGCACGAAATCATCAACTTAAACATAGAAAATAAAATAATAACCGAACCAAAAGAGATTGCCGAAAAATGTATGCAGCATTTTAATGATATTTCAGGCTCCTATGAACGTAATGGAACAGGAAATAATGGAAATAATATAGATAGAAACAGACACTATTTCTATTTTTAACCCGCTGTAAGTTGTGACATAATATCAATAATAAATAACCTTAAAAACTCAAACTCTACTAGCGCAGATAAAATTAGTGCAAATATTTTAAAAATGTCATCTAGTTTCCTTAGCCAACCTCTAGCATTTCTAATTAATTGTTCCATTGAGGAGGGGACATTTCCAGATAGACTCAAAGTTGCAAAAATTAAGCCCTTGTTCAAGTCTGGTGATAACCACGACATCTGTAATTTTAGGCCAATCTCCCTAATCAGTCCTTTTGCGAAAGTATTTGAGAAATATGCTTCCTTACAAATTGTCAATTTTTTTTACAGTTTCAAATTATTCAATAGCATACAGTTTGGATTCAGAAAAGGTTTGTCAACCAAAAACGCTGTGCTTCATTTTCTTGATGAACTGTATTTGAAAATGGACAATGGCGAAAAGTGTGTAGGAATATTTCTTGACTTGAGTAAAGCTTTTGACCACGTAATACTTTTGGATAAATTGGATAGATATGGAATCAGAGGTAAGCCATTTGACTGGTTTCACAGTTATCTAAGCAACAGAAAACATTATGTTGAAGTACTGACTGCACTGTCTGACCAGCACCTAAATCATACAGGGGTTCCACAGGGTTCCATACTTGGCCCTCTCCTATACATAATATATGTCAATGACTTTCCCGCCAAATCCTCGGTAATGTATGCTGATGATACCCCATTACTTATTAATGGCAAAAACCTGGAGTCAGTGATAAGAAATGCCAACACAAGCTTAGCTAGTGCAGAGCAATGGTTCATTAATAATGGCCTGGTCTTAAACCACAAAAAGACAGTGTTTCTGAGATTTAACTACTCTAACATGCACATGGATCGTAGTCTCCTTATAAAATCATGCGGTAGATCCATGGAACAAGCAGAAACTATAAAATTTTTAGGAATACACATATCGCAAAACTGCAAATGGGATACGCATATAGAGAAAGTTAGTCAAAAGATTACCTCTCTTTGCTATTGCATGTACCAGCTGAGTTTTATCGTTGATAAGTGGATATTGTTAATGTTTTACCATGCACATTTCCATTCTACTCTGACTTATGAAATAGAAGCATGGGGAGCATCCTCCAAAGTACAAAGGCTTCTTATATTACAAAAAAGAGCTATTAGAACTATTGCAAAGGTGGGAAGGCGCTTTAGTTGCAGGGAACTATTCACAGGTTTGAAGATTTTGACGCTGCCTTCAGTATATATATTGAATATATTGATTTACGTCAAATCTCACCTGAACAATTTTAGTTCTATAAATTCTGGAATTTATAATACCAGAAACAGAGAAGTATTGGAGGTGCCGGCACATAGGTTGTCTAGAACGGAGAAGAGAGCCAAATACATGGGAATAAAACTCTTCAACAAACTACCCATTGATTGTAAATCACTACCGCTGATATTATTTAAAAAAGAATCAGGCAAATTTTACTTGATAAAGCTTTCTACTCTATAGAAGAGTTTTTAATGAGTGATAGTATTTTTTAATTGTTTTAATGTATTGTTCAATTTTAATTTGTTAATTTGTATTTTAATTTGTTTTCATGTTTATACACTTCGTGTTTTTATTTGATGTTTTGAATGTTATTTATGTATGTAGGCAATTCTGTTTATACAAATATTCAATTGACTTATCCTATATCACTTTGTGATCCACAGGATGAATAAATTATTATTATTATTATGCATGTATTGCCACAACGTTTAAATGCAAACTCATAGTTAGCTTTTCAAGAGAATTACATACAAAATGTGTTAGATGATGTTCCGTTAGCAACGAGACTAGAAATGTGCTATCAGCACGACGGTGCCCCACCGCATATACGTCGTGAAATAACCGCATGGTTAAATAATCATTTTCGACTACGATGGATTGGCAGAAACGAACCCGTACATTGGCCTGCGAGGCCTCCTGATTTGAACCCCCTGGATTTCTTTTTGTGGGGCGCCTTTAAACAACTAGTATATGCTGAACAAATTAATACTGTTGATCAGTTACAAGAAAGAACAGATATTGCGTTCAGTTGACAATTTTGAAGGTAATAAAAAAAAACGTTTTTTATTTTTAAACTTCCCCCTCAGGGACAAAAATCTCATCTTTGGTCAAGACTTGTGAATCACCTTGTACTCGTATATGCTTGTCAGAAATTCCTTGTTGGACATAAGAGGATGTATACAGACTTTTTATATGCTTCTTGTTTCCAAACAAATGCATCTTCCCTACCAGATTTATTTCCAAAGGGCAGAGATATTTAATTACCCTCTCTCTCTCTCTCGATCCTCCTTTCACAGTAATGGATCGCCAAAGAGGGACAAAATAAACAAACGCAATCCCACAGAAACCAGATTTATTTACAAAGAAAACGATTTTGCAAGCACCTTAAATGTGGTAGATTGGGAGCACTGTTTATTTCTCACTGATTTTGCAGTTATCATTAAAAAAAGAAAAAGAAAACGTAATTAAGAAAAAAGTAAAGAAACAATAAGAAGAAATTAGTCTTCTCGCAAGTGGCCCAAGGAAAACTCAGGCAAACCGTGACCTGGTGTTATTTGTGTCACCTTTGAGGTACCCATGTAGTACACAATATCCTGACCTTGATATTCAGAATTGCGCTTTAGTACTTTTGTTAGGCAATAGATTCAATTAAATAATTGTATCACTACTGCCAAAAACTAAAAAATCAAACAAATAAATGCGCATCGAGAAAAAAATGGTCATAAAAGGAAAACACTCATCTCATTTTACAACATCCAAAATGGTTCTGAAGGTTCTGTAAATACATATGCTATTATTATTTTAGGAAAAAGTTCACTTTAGATAGCTGGTGATATCGTGAAATACGTGACTATCTGATAATTTTCAAGGCCGAATAAGAAAATGATGTCACATTGAAATTTTGCCACATTGAGGAGGAGAAAAAGTGGCAATGTTAATCAGCAATTTATTTTGGTATCGCACCCCAAATAAAGTGAGAAAAATGAAAAACGACTTTAAAA